ACTGACCTTCAATCTTGTCTCTGAGATCCTTCCCACGGGTGGAGGGTCTCAGTCCTTATCAGCTGAGCCCACCAGAACAGAAGGCTGCAGGCCTTGATCAAACCCAGAAGTTTCCCTTTTCCTTTATGCAGGTAGAGAAGATTTTGCCACAGTTTATTCCAACTTGAGATACCTCCATGCCTTAAATAAGCCAGCCTAGGCACCCTGGGGGAAAATTCTCACATCTCGGGCTGCCCCTCACATGGTACCTTTTGAAGCCCTGTATTGAGGTGCCACACAACAAATCTCAGAGGGGTATTTTTGGCCAGAGTTACAGGAATTCCAGATAAATCACTTAGGGGGAAAAAAAAAAAAAAACTCCCCCTAGTTTTGCATAATTCAGTTGTGCAATTTGATTATTGCATGGATTTTGCCCTGCTACAGAATGTTGAGAATTACTTGCATTTTGCCTATGGAAGAAATTTCATCTCCTGAAGAAAATATTGTGAAAAACTGCTAAATGACCTTAAAAAAAATGAAGCTGGGACTCACCTACAACTGACTTTGGGTTTATGAAGAGAACACCTTCATCAGCATGTGCCCAGAAACATGACTTGGGAGTTAGGCAACTAAACTGCACGAGTGCTCCTGCCTGTTGGTCCTGGTCCTATCCATCAAGTTGATATCCTTCTTTTCAATTACTTTCTTTACACATCAGCTACTGGGAAAGCTGCAATTTACTGCAAGCCAGTGTTTGTTTCTGTGCCTCTCACTCTGCAGCCAAAATCTCTGTGTGCACCCTCATGGAGGGACCGGTGGAAGGACCAAACCAAACCAAACCTTCAGTCTGGTTTTGGGTTCCTGAGTGCGATGAACTTTAATTGGATGTTTTACCTGGATTTCATCAAGACTACAGGGCAGTAGCTTTTGATGGGTCACAGCCTGTTCCATGCACTGATCCAGGCTCCCTGTGAGTGGCCCAGACTGGCAGGAAGATATATGAAGATATTCACGAATAAAGGTCATGATTTGAGCTGTCTGTGAAATGTCTGGGCAGGCAGCCTGGCTTTGCTTACACAAGCCAGGGCCAGGGCTCTGCACTGTTTAACTTCCAACACATTCCTCGGCATGGTTTTGATCCAGCATGGCATGATCTGGGTGATGGGCCTGCAGTCTCTCCCAGGGGGCAGTCTGCATATAGCCAGCCTGTTTTGGGGGAAGATGGGCTGCATGGACTCATCAGAGCTGGAGAAAGGACCGTTCTCCTCCCAGAGACATCGCAGACAAGGTGAGACAGACAAAGGATACAGAGAGAAGGTGGGGCTGAGAAATACTGGGCAGGGTGAGAGCACTGATCTCAGTGCCCCAGAAACCTGCCCATCACAGAGCTCCTGGCCAGTGTGCCAGTGCAGGGAGTCTTCAGGCAGTGACTTGGAGGACAACCACAACATGAGACTCGGGAGAAGTCCTCCTGTATGAAGTTTTAAGGTTTCACATATACTGGCCTGGCTCAGCAGGCCCTCTCAGGCACCCTGGGAGGGGAGTGGGCAAGAAAAGCCAGTGTAAGGGAGAGGTTTGCTGATGGAGAAGCCCATTCTCAGTGTCACCACAAGGTGGAACTTGGTACATACCACATGCATCAGAGATGCACCCACTGTCAACAGGCACAGCGGCGCCTTTGGCCGGGGATGCACCGATGAGTCTGGTCCCAGCACCTGCTCCACGATCCCCACTTCCACACAGGGAAGGGAGTGGTGGTGTAGAGGAGCCACTGGCATTTTCTGTTGGAGGTGAGAAGCTGTGCCAGCAGCAAGGCCTGGTCCTTGGAGGTTGTGAGGCGTGACAAGGAGAACAGAGCCGAGAGCAGCGAGTGGTGTGCTGGGGGTAGCAAGGAAGGAGAGAAGAGGGAGGTTTCTACGGGTGGGATGTGGGACAGCATGGGTGAAATGAAGAAAGGACTCCAGAGGGAAAGGCAGGGCAGGTGGAACCTTGCAGACATGGAAGGAACCTTGCTGTTGTCTTCTTCAGCATGGAAGAACAGCATTATGTAAAACAGACCTATTTTTTTCTTCTTAGTAACAAATACAGAACAAGGCACAACCTTTGGCCTCTTTAGTGGGAAAATCTCCCCTTAGCATGACATCTGTTGTTTGTTATGTGGCTGCCATGGGCATTACTGGTCATAATAATTTGCATCACGTGCATGACGTGACGGGGAAGTGGTGAGGTCATCACCAGCACAGGTATTTTCATTCCAGTCCTAAACTGTTGCAAGTCTGGGCAAATCAGCAGCTGAGTTTTGTTGTTTGTGTCAGTCTGGTGTAAAGAGACTATGATCAGAATTAGGGTTGCACCACTTCTGGTGCTGTCCAAATATGATGGGGACAGGAGAAGAGGTCCATCCCCAAAGAGATCAAAAAACATGCTGCTCCTTTCTCTGTGAAGTGGTAATAGTACTTCCCGAGCTCCTTTGTATAAGGATGAGATGGAGATTAATTCATTTTGGAAAATCATCTGAAGAGCAGCCTGTGCATTACAGTGTTTTCACATGGCCCATTTCCTACCAGACTCTACAGCCACTCTATCTCAAGTGCCTGTTTCCTGGATATTCAAGCACTTTGTTAACTTTGGGACCATGTTCTGACATCCTCATTCACATCGATTTCTGTTTGCTCTGTGAGTAATCCAGCTGGAATCGATAGGATGATCAACACAGCCCCGATCCCGGCCACAGGGACATGAGTAACTTCACTCATGTGACCAGTGCCACTTATTTAGGTGGGATTGGTCATGTGGGTAAAATTGCACGACCCACTCAGGTGTTACCTGCAGTGAATAAGGCTTGGAGAATTTTTTTCCACTTCCTCCAGCACTGGAGTGTGACGGCAGCATCACGTAACACCAGCACGTGTAACCCAGGGTCACCCCCCAGGCTTCTGCTGTGAGATGTGACATTGTCTTTAAATGACCTCGAGACCACAGTACATCCAGCTCTGTTGTTTCCCAAAGCAGGGAATTTCTGGCCCAATTATCTCGTCTTCATTTTAAAAACAAGTTGATTCGAACTGTCTTACATCTCTGATGCCCTCACAACAGCAAAATTTGCACGCTGCTGTTCTGGAGAGGTATCTAAACTCAGTTGAATGCTGACCCTGTGCTCTGTGTGTGAGCAAACTTCAGGGATAAGTACAGTAAAATGTTCTCCAAGGGCCTGGAAAGCTTTAGGCAGGGCTGTCACTGGCACTGCTATTAAAAATTAATGAGAAAACAAAGCACAAGGGCTTTGTGTGCTCCCAGATCGATCCATCTGGGACTCTGCTGCTGGACAGAACAGTTGGTGTGTAGAAGCAAATTGTTTTGCTAAGGCAATTACAGGAGGCTCTTCCCTACTCCTTTAATTAGATCAGTCCTCTCCAGTACAATGTGAAATATGGGAATTGCTCAGAGACTGATAGCTAATAAATATCATCTAGCCATCACATCACAGTGCCCACCTCCTCAGCAGGGCAAAATCAAAGCTCCCAGGGAATGCTGTGAAGATTATGGCCCTGACATCCAGACCCTGCATGTGCAGGGGGCCCACAAAGGCTGGAGGTGTTTCCTCAAACACCCACTGCCTGCCTGGCTAACAAGTTCAGCAATGCCCCCTCCAGAAATGGCCTTTATTTCCCTTCACTGTCTGTGATTTGCAGTGGCTGTGTGTAAATAAAGCTTTATTAGAGGTATTGCTGTTCGAGGCCATGCAGTGCCCTGCCTTGTCCCCAGAGAGTTTCTTACATGTGGTGTATGGCAGCAATTAATGACTCTGACCCTGTCCTTGTGCTGGTCAAATAACCCAAATAACTCTGTGCTTCTCTGTGGGGGTTGGTAGGGCTTCCTTCAGACTGCAGAGGAAGAAGGGGAAGGTGACTGGGTAGGCAGATACCAGAAACAGAGGTGATGTTTCTAAAACCTGAATTGAACATGATGAGGGGCTGGTGATGGAGAGAGCCTTTGATTAGGTTTGCAGCAGGAACAGTGATGTGTGGTTTGATGTCAAGCTTCTTGGGCATATGCTGGTCCTGCAGCAAGGGACATTCACCCCAGTTTGACTCCTTTCCCTGCAGTACTTCACCCTTGCTTGCCTGGCAGGACAGCAGCTGACAAAGGCAACGACAAAAAAGTAGTCTGTGACAAGGTGTGTACATAACTGCTGTACATCACTGCAGAAATGGTCATGGCTAGGGAAGAGATGGATTTTGGTCTCAGCCATTGCCAGGAAAATGGGGAATGGTTGTGAGTTTCAGCAAAGGAAATTTATACTAGTCATGAAGGACAAATTCTTCACTGAGAACATCTAAGCTCTTGGACAGGTATCTTAATTGGATGTGGAGTCTCTGTTCTTAGAAATGTCCAAACTCACCTGGACAAGGCTGTGAGCAACCAAATCTACCTTTGAAGGTGACCCCACTTTGAGTTGGGTGGTTGATTCTAGAGAGCCTCAGAGATCCATTCCACCTTGAATTATTCTCTGATTTGTGTAATCAGTGACTTGTTAAATGCCTGAGGGGGCTTATTCCTGTACCAGGGTGCAGGGTAAATCTGAATTACAAGAATAAACCCAAAGCTATGCAGAAATGCAGGGTGACTCACCCAAGTCACACAGGAAATCGGTGGCAGAGGAGACCTCTCCGGACTCTTAGGAAAATACTCTTCTGTAGGTGGAAAAAGAACAGCATTAAAACACAGTTTCCGAGCAGCTTTTTGGCCACATCTGCCCTGGCTCAGAAGTGTTTTTAGCTTCGTCTTCAGTCCCTGTCAGTGGGAACAGCACGGAGCAGGCCGGCACAGAAGAGAAAGGGTGGAGCCAAGCTCGCCCTGATCCAGGCGTTCGTGGGCAGGATAAGCTGACAAACCCAAGGCACTGATTAGGACTCACAAACAATATCTGGGACTTCTCCAGCCTCTGGAAATGGTGCGCAATAACCCACTGGCGTACGACTGCTGGAAAACTTGTTCCTTCTACCTGGGCAGCTGCCGGCGGTCTCCTCGGTTTGATTTCGCATCCAGCGTGTGCTGGTGAGCAAAGCGGGAGGAGAGACTTCCCACAGTCCCACCCCCAGCGGGACTCTGCCCTCCCCTGCCTTCCTCTGCTCCCGCTGTCCCACTGCCTGCGCTCCCTCCTTGGAGCCCCGTTTGACACCGCGCACGCCGGAGGCTCCTGGATGAGCAGGGATCCCTGCAGGGGTGGCGTGGCCCCCCATCCTTCCCGGCACCCCGCGCCTCTCCCTGAGCCCCACGCTGGATCATGCAGTGCATCCGAAGGCAGCCCAAGCGCAGCGCATCCCAGGAAAACATGCTACTGGAGCAGAGCCGTAGAGTGGCCGCGTTGAATGGCATCAGGCTGGGTAAGGGACAGGTTGGCCGGAGCCTCGGCGCCGGGCTGGCAGCTGCTTCGTTTCTGCCTCTTTTCCTTGTGCAGAGGCAGTGCTCCACCCTAAAGACAACTGCGGGGTTATTTTTAAGTTTCCGAGGTTTCTTTTCCTTTCATTTGCGTGTAACCACGCGCCAGATGTGCAAAGCGCTTCGTTGGAGACATCAAAGAATGTGGGAGATCTTTGGCAAAGGGGCAGTTCCCAAATCCGTGTCTGGGCTCTCTGAACTGCTGCTGGTCGAAGGGGTTTGGGGAGGGCAGTGCCCTTTTCCTGCCTGATTTTAGGACTGTTCAGGGGTGTGTTGCCTGTTGCTGTCAGAGCCCAGGGAACCACTCAGAGTTTGCATTCACCAGACTGAAAGAGGAAACAGAGTTTCATAACTTCTGTGCCTGGCTATGAACTCATTGCTGGTTCCTGCAGTCTGGAGACACAGCCCAAGTGGATGCCAGTCCCTTGATTTCCGTGGATACAAAGGGCAGGTGGAAATGGGAAACAGCCATTTACCCACCCAAGCTCTTTAGATTTTATCAAAAAGGCTTTCTGCCCTTTTGAACCAGCAAACCTGAGTTATGCCTGGTCTGTAAGCAGGTGGGAGGGGGAGGCCAGGCGGGAGGAGGCTTGTTTTATGGAAGTTCTATCAGATCAGCAGATTAGCGAGTGAGCAGTGCAGCAATATCGATGATCACTGTCCTCCTAACTATCTCCTTAGTGAACTCAAAGCCTGGCTTCTACCATGACAGCTGTTGTTTTATTGTGCTTCCTGCTTGCTGTAAACCTGAGTTAGATAAGCCAAAGGTTAACATTTTTGACGTCTCAGTGTCTAAAGCTTCCTAGTGCAGTGTATTAACATCGTGGTTATTGCAGTGCTGTGTGTGCTTGAGGTGCTTCTTACCTTGGCCAAACACGATTTTTCCTTCGACCATCACTGCATGCTGATTATATTCTGTTTAGAAAGTGTGTGATTGATGTTTTGTGAGCAGGGGGGTCCTGACCCTTGAAAAGCATTCCAGAATTTTGCATGCCACATGGGTATTTGGTATTTTGCAGAGGATGCTGAACAAGACACAGCCTTGCCACGTGTGTCAGGCAGGATTCGGGTGTGTATTTCAGTGTGGTGATTGTGCTTCTCATGCCTCATGTTGTTATATAGTTGGAAATCAATATCCTTGTCCTGCTGCACAGTGTTTTTTAACTTTTAAATTATGTATGTTTACAAGGACTCTGGTTTCTTTCATAAAAGTTTCCATTGCTGTGAGATGGAACTCTGGACCACAGAACTCCTCAGCTTCAGGCTTTGAGCAACCTGGTCTCATAGAAGGTGCCTCTGCCCATGGCAGCGGGGTTGGAACTAAATGACCTATAAGGTCCCTTCCAGTACAAACCATTCCATGATTCTCTGTGGAGTTGTTAGGCCGAAATCCTCAGGAGCTGGTTCAGGCGTAAAACCTGAAATGAGGTTTCTGCTGGGAAAAGGTAGGTTTTTTTTCTGGAAAGCAGTTCAGATGACCAGCTGAGAGTAATGTCCCACTGACACATCAGGGGTGAGTTTGTGGTTCCTGTATCAGCAGATCAGAGCGTCTTACAGCTCCATCTCTGGCCTAACAAAATGCTGTTGTAGGTAGGACATCAGCAGTGACTCACCCAAGGGCAGGTGAAGAGTCTGTGGCAGTGCTTGGTTGGGCGTAGGAGGCAGGACCTGAAACACTGGCCCTCTTTCCTCTCCATTCAGCTGTGCCAGCTTGAACTGCTGCTGCACAGACCCAGAGCAGCCTGGCACAGGCTGGGCCCACCTGGCCAAGGGGATGTCCCTTCTTCCTCTGGGTGGTCCAGTCAGGACTTGGGGTCACCCCGGCAGAGGTCAGCTCTGGGTGACTGCCCTCTATCTGAAGGGACCCCACATCCAAGGGATGTCAGAGCTGTTAGACATTCATGATTAACCCTCTTGCCCTTTCCTGGCCAAACCTGCTGTCTCCTAGGGGGAAGCTTGTCTCTGTCCCCTCCCTGACTTCTCTCACTGCCCCTGACTCAGGCTCTCTGAGCCAGCTTTTGTCTTTGCCATGCCTTCACTATGCACTGTCCCTCTTCATCCTTCCCTCTGGCTCTTGCCAAGTGCAGTGCCCTCCTTTGCTGATCATGTCACCTTTCCTGGTCCTCAGGCACAAGAACCAAGGATGAGTGGTAGGGCTGCTCCCACCCCATAGTCAGATCCTTGGAAGATGAAGGGGAGTTTTGACCCACACTAATACCCTGTGCAGGTGAGCAGGATGAAGGGCTCTGAGCTCCAGCTTGTGTCTGAACTGCGTGGTCTAAGCCTAGAGGAGAGGAATCTGCCTTGGCCACCACCTGTGCCTATCCAGATTTGTCTGTATTACATTAGTGCAGCTCTTTGGGATGTCCTGGTAGCAGGACACCTTACAGATGCTGCACGTGATGTCTGAGGAACAAAACACGTCTCAGTTAAAGGGATTTCTCATTGCACACTTATGGACATAAGCATCCAAAGGAACTGAGGTTTTCCTGCTTCCCTCCCCATGTCACCCTAGGATGACATGTCCTCCTATTCCCATAATGATGCCCTGTGTGGCTGGGATCTGAAGAAAAAGAAGGAATGAGTCTGGGAGCCAGAACAGTAATGTGGGTGAATTGGGAGAAGGAAGAATTAGTTTCCCCTCCAGCAACCTTGAGGAATGCCACAGGGATGTCAGTGAGGCTGGAGTCTGTGGCATCTTCCCTGCACTTGGAAGACCTTTGCCTCAGAGCAGAAGCACAGCTCAGGAGACCGAGGACCCATGAAGCTGTTGTGGTATCTGTCCATCCTCTGGATGATCTGGCCTCTTGTCAATCCCTGGGAATGCTGTCCCAGGTTTTGTACATGGGATCAACTTTTCACCCTTCTGAACTGTGCAGGAGACAGCTTTTTTTTTTTTTTTTTTTTTTTTTTTTTCTCTCCATGAGTTTTTTTTTGAGGTTTCCAGAGGAGGAAGCATTCAAATCCTCCTCTTGGGAACTTGCCAGATCAGACATGAGCTGAGAGGCCCAGGGGATGCTGTAGCATGGGAAGACACTTAATTAATGAGATAGCTAATTTAATGTAGAGGAAAGAGAGAGGCCACAACCACCTGTTCAGGATCTCCGGTTCCCGCTGTGACGCTTTCAGCTCTGGATGCTTTGGCCAGGCTCAGCTCTGGGCATGATCCTTGGTACCTCCAAAACCAGTAAAGGCGTGTGAGTGACTCATGAAGTGAACCCTGGACACCCCTCATACTTATCTGTGATGGAGATCTCAAGCTTTGGCAACATAAAATGCTCTCTTCAGGCCACTGATTCCCAGTTACAAACTCACAGTGCAGCTTTTTGCTGCTGCCACCATGACCCACCTTGGTGCTCTGCAGCACCTGGTACTTCAGTTTCCTGTATGAAGATTGTCAGGATTATAGGAATCTGGCCACTTGGATCTCATACTGAGTTTTATTTTTCAAGCAGGCACAAAATTTGGTAGTTTATTGCCTTGCTCTGTTTAAAAAAAGGAAAATTTGAGGCGGATGTGTCTTCCAGGGAAGAACCAAACCTGTGTCACAGGGGGACACTGCAATAGAAAAGTCATTGCATAAATCAGTTAGGTTGGATTTCTGCTTTGTGACACCCCACGTTATCTTTAGGTAGCACTGGGAAATTTTGGTTGATGTGTCGGGTGGCTGTAAGTGGTTACCTGCAGTGTTAGGGTTAGAAAAAAATCCAGCTGAACTGTGATGTGCACGATCAGCAAGAGAGTTAAATGCTGTTTCACCAGCTCTGAACCAGCCTTTCATGCCGTGTCAGAGAGATGCAAGGTGCCTATTACAGGGAGCACGTGTCATGCTCTCACCCTCCTCAGCCCACACGCTGCAGATCTGTAATTAATGGTTGGTTTGAGGGACAGATTCTCCAAGGTATTTAAGTATGTGGAAGTCATATACTGCTGAGACATTCAAACCTACTTAGAATGCCAAATCTGTGTTTTCAAAGCCTCAGTAGGTGCCTTTTGCCTCTCTAGGTGTCTTAAGTGCCTTCCTGAATCTAGGTTAAGTTGTGAAATCTGAAGTTTCTGGAACCAGAAGGTCTGGTTGTCATTACCTGACATTGCAGTGGCCTGGTAGTGTAAGAAAGGTAAAGATCCTCTTGGGTGGTTGAGAAGTGAGGAGAGCATGGTTGCTGCCTTACTGTTACCTCATTGATATGTTGCTGCTTTCACCAAAATTGCCTGTCCTAAGCTTCATATCACTGATCTACAGAATTCCCATGTGGATAGGAAGGCGCTGCTTGCCAGGGAAGGACGAGTGATATCTTTGTGTATTCCTGTTTCCACAAAGGAAATTTGTTGCAGAATAGATTTGAAACCACTTGAAAGTTCCTGACAGCATTCCAATTACAAGTTATGCGACTTTCCTCACTCTGATCCTACGGTTTTGTCGTTTGTTTTATTGTGGTTTTTGCATCCTAACAGTAGCTATATTTGCTGGGAAGGAAGTATTTTATGTTTGTAAACCACGTGAGAATTGCCATACGAAAGTCTTCGGACTCAACCTAAGAGATGTACAAAGCTTCAGCCTCTTTTGTGAGCATAAAGTGTGATGTGGAGGATTGATTTCCGTGTCTCTCTTTCAGCTGTCCTCCCCAGGCCTGTCTGCCCTGCAGTTGTCTGTCTGTCTGGATTGTCCCATGGAAGGGGAGACTCCTTGGGCATCATTTCTTGAGCTATCTTTTACATTACCTCTCCTGTTTCACCACAGGCCTCAAAGATGACAAGGATCTGAAGTTCCTCCTGAAGGGCAGCCAGCTGCTAAAAGTGAAGTCGAGCTCCTGGAGGAAGGAGAGGTTTTATAAGCTCCAGGAGGACTGCAAAACCATCTGGCAAGAATCAAAGAAGGTGCTCAGATCTCCAGAGTCGCAGATCTGTAAGTAAAGCCTGCTTTGTCATGGGCAGTGGGGCACTTTGTGAGAGATGCTGGGGGTGAACCAGGACCATTATGTGTGGTGTGGAGGCAGGGAGCAGTGAGACCAGATCCTTCAAACCTCCTGTCACACACAAACTGAGGGATGCTGTCAGCTCTGGAGACAGCCGCGAGGAATCCGCCGTGTCAGGAATGGCCACATTTCCCAAGCTCATGAGCTACTGCTTAAAATGGTTGTGGGGTGGGCTGTGCTGGTCTCAGCAGCCCTGCCTGGCTCATTTCCTCCCCAAATTGTTCAGGTTACTCAGGTGCCCAAGCCCTAATGCTCAAGTGTGAGACACGGTATGAGCGTCTGTGGTGTGGTCTGTGCACTTGGGCTGTTGGTCTGGGCTCTGCCAGGACACTTCTTTCCTGCCTTCAATCCCTGGGAAAACTGTCATTGAAGCCTTACAAAGGAACTGCAGAGGAGTGGAAATCCAAGGGCTGGCAGGAGATGTCTCTGGGAAGGAAAGCCTATTCTTACTCTTATCTTGGAAACCCAGAATCTGCTCTATTGTAAAAAGTGCAGATATGACAATCACCATTGTATGTCCCAGCAAGAACAATCCTGTGCCAGTATCACCCAGCTTGGTGCTGTAACTGGGACCAGGAGCCCAAATGTGCAGTCAAAATGGGATCAGGCAGGGTGTGTGTCTGTTTACTTCTGGGTTTTCTTCTCATTTGGTATTTTTATGACGTACTTCTCCATATATTCTGACATTCTTCTCTCATGTTTCACTAATCATCACAGTCTTGTAAATCTAGCAGGTAAATTAGCAACATGGACTATGTTTTATGGTATGTTGAAATGTGCTATTTACACAGTTTTTTGGTAATGATCACAATTAACTAAATGAAGGGTGGGCCTTCCAAATTACACCCCCCCTCCCACAAGCAGTGATAACATTTTCAGTGGGAGGAGTAAAGTGGCAGGGTAAAATACATTTGAGTTGTAACCCTCATGGCCAGGCTCTTCTCACATGACCTTGAGCACCTCATTTAATCTCTTTGTGCATCTTTCCCCACACATTTTCTTTTTCCTCCTCTATCTAAATGTGAAAGACTTTGGATCACAGGATCCTAAAATGGTTTGGGTTGGAAGGGACCTCAAAGATCATCCTGTTCCAGCCCCTGCCATGGGCAGGGACACCTTCCTCTAGACCAGGTTACTCCAAGCCCTGTCCAACCTGGCCTTGAACACATCCAGGGATGAGGCACCCACAGTTTCCCTGGGTAACCTGTTCCATCCAGTGTCTTGCCACCCTCTGAGTGAAGAATTTCTTCCTAACATCTAATCTGAGTCTTTCCTTTTTTAGTTTAAAACCATTCCCCTTTGTCCTATCACTGTCTGCCCATGTAAGTAGTGTCTCTCTCTCCTTTTTTGTAAGCCCCCTGTAGGTACTGGAAAGTTGCAGTGAGGTCTCCCCAGAGCCTTAGGGTTGGAGCCTGTCCTTTACTGAGTTTGGATGCCCAGCATGGTGGGATCCTGAGCTCAGCTGGGCTCTCCAGGTCTCAGTGCAATAATCCATATAACAACTACAAACACAAAGGTCTCAGTGAATGTTTGTCCTCTGGGAGCACCTGCTCTGCTGAGCTCTGTCCCATATAAAACCAAAGTCCTTTCCCAGATAATATCTTGCTATAAAACAAATAAGGACATGATTTGAGAAAAATCCCTTTCAGACCTCCCTGTCCTGTGCTCTGAACCAGCCCATAACTCCAAATTATGGGGTCAGAGAGCACCTACAGCAACAGTCCTGACCCCTCCTGGTCCTCAGGAGTAAATGGGAAGGGGATCCCTGTGCTGTGGCTCCAGAGACCTTGATGCCTGCCTGGCTGAACCCTTTGCCTCCATGGCTGAGGCAGTGACATGGGGAGCAGGCACAACTGTGACTGTTTTATTTACTGAGCTGCAACAAGAGTGAGCTCAAATCCTTTGAGCTGGGCGTTGGGCCCAGGCTTTGGGAGTGTGTCTGCATGGGTGTGGATTTACAGCACTCAAGATACACTTTGGTAACTGAGCACAACCAGTGTTGCCACTCTGCTGGAGACAGAGGCAGTGCCACTGTGGGAAGGAGAGCCTGCTGTGCCCTGGGAGTGTCCTCAGTGCAACGTGAAGGGGGAGCGATATTACCTGGTGGCTCACATGCACCTGCATGCTCCGTGACACTCCATGCACACACACCTCTTCCAGAGAAAGGTTCTTCCACTACACCAGATTGCTCAAAGCCCCGTCCAACCTGTCCTTGAACAGCTCCAGGGATGGGGCAGCCAGTTTCTCTGGGCAACCTGTTTCGGTCCCTCACCACCCTCACAGAAAAGAATTTCTTCCTTAGAATTAATCTAAACCTGCCCTTTTTCAGTTCAAAGCCATTCTTTTTTGTTCTATCTCTACTTGCCCTTGTCCAAAGTCTCTCTCCAGCTCTCTTGTAGCCCCTGTAGGTACTGGAAGGGTCCCTAAGGTCTCCCTGGAGGCTTCTCTTCTCCAGGCTGAACAACTCCATCTCTCTCAGCCTGTCTCTACAGCAGAGGGGCTCCAGCCCTCTGAGCATCTTCATGGCTTCCTCTGGACTTGCTCCAACAGTTTTCCATCCTTCTGATGTTGGAGGCCCCAGAGATGGATGCATTACTCCAGGTGGGGTATCATGAGAGCAGAGTAGAGGGGCAATCACTTCCCTCAACGTGCTGGTCATACTTCTCTTTGCCTTTCTCATTTAGAGGTCCTCGGAGACCTTCTGTTCTCAAGTTTATGGAGTGATCGCTGGGTTTGAGTTTAGTTCTTGAGCTTTTAACTTCACCAGGCTGCTCTGGGTCCAGGTGTAGGGAGGATTACCCCCAGCTCTTGTTGTGTCCTTAGGCAGGCTCTACCACCACGGCTGCCCTCTCAGTTGATGTGGTGCGCAAAGGTGGTCCCATCAGAGGTGGAGTGCAGGGTCATGATTTGAGACCCAAAATCAGGGACTTCAGCGTGAAATCTCTCCAGAGGGTCACTCTTCCTTGTTGACAGACAGCTGCTTTGCCCTCCAGTACAAAGCCTTCCTAAACCTGCAGATAAGCTCCCTTTTTAGGATGGAAAAAGAGTGAGCAGAACGGAAACCGGGAGGTTTGAGCAGCAGGGTCTAATCTTATCTGCAGCGTTGCTGGCGGCGAGCAGATGGATGCACCTCAGAGGAGCAAAGCCTGGGTAGGGTGAGGGTTATGTTTTTGTTTGGATGGTTTCCTGTTATTCCTATTGCTGCTCTTATGACCATGTGGAAAAGCTATTTGTAAACCATTGTGTGGTGGGGCCCAGTAGATAACACTGGGGACTGCCAAGGTCAGGCAGGAGGATCTCAGATGCCTGAAGTTCAAAAAGCCCAACATATCAGGGTTGTCACAGGCACAGGCATTGCCTGGCTCAGATACACAGGGTACAACCAATACTTTCCTCTGTTGTCTTTATTTTAAACAACTGGGATTAGACAACTTAGATTGGATGCTGTCTTCATAGCTGTAACACCCACAGGGGGTAGGCTGCTGTTCCAAAATGGTTTCTACGCAGGTAGAACATGATCCATTTTTTCCTTATTGTCCATAACTTTTCAGTATGTTCCATTTAAGTCCAAGGGAACAGGGTTTTTTTCCAAAAGCCCTTGAAGCATCTTAAGTCAGTTTTCCAACAAGCATGTTCTGCCCTGTGTGTGCTCTCTGGTTGCCTCCAGCAGAGATATGGGAATGCTGGGCATGAAGGGCAGCAGAAAAGCACCCATTTTTCAGCAGAGCCTGCTCCATGCTGTGTCTGGGCTGCACATCAGATCCACAAACACACTGCTGTGTTACCCTAAATGTTGTGTAGGGCCATGGGCAGGGTGGATGCTTCTTTGGCCCGTGAGGATTTTACACAGCTTTCTCCCTGGGCTGAGGAAACAGAGTTCAGGTTGCACAATTAACAGTTTTGGGGCAAAGAGAAGATTTGTGCACGGGAGCTGGAGAACAGTTCATTCTGAGCCAGTTCCCTGCTGAGCATCACTGTGGTGCGAGGGAGGAGAGTCAAAGGGGGCAGAGGGACTGGATGGCAGGAGCAGCAGACTGTCACTAGCATCATCTTGTTTAGCTGTTGTCAAATATCAGATCTCATCTGTGTGAAATAAAAAGAGCAAAAAGAAAAAAAAGCATTGCCTGCTTTCAGTGAAATTGATTTTTGAAAGTATTTTCTTAAACCAGCTGTAATCCCTTGTGTGAGCTCACTTAAGCCAGACTCAATCCCTTTAAAAACTCTCTGAACCCGGGGATTTGTAGGCATGGCTGCAAACTTTCCACTGAAGCATCCTTTTGAGCGTTTGGTGGAGGAACAGAATATTCAAAGGCAGAAGGAGAAGACTGAGTGAGTCATTTAGGTTTAGGGGTGCTACAGTGGGGCCCCAGAGACGGTGCTTTGGTACCTCCTGCACTCTGTCTCTGCTGGAGGCTCAGGGAGGTGACGTTTTCCGTGGCAGCCCTGAATGAGCTTCGCTCACCAAACCAGAGATGACTCACTGGGGGCGCGTCCTTGAGTCAGAGCAGTGAAGTCAAGAAAGAACTTCGGGAGTTTTAGCTGAAATAGTTCCATTTCTGGCCAAAAGCTTTACGTAAAAACTGCTATTGTTGGATTTTATTTTTTTTTTTTCTGTATTTTGATTAAAATAATCTGCTTTGGGAGCAACTTTCAGGGGTGAACTAAATTCAGTTGCACTACTGAGTGTTGCAAGTGGTGATTGTATTATTATTTAAGGTCATGAAATTGGTCTTTTGATGTAGTAATTAGTTATCTCACTATTAAAAAGACACAAAATTTGTTCCAGTTCCTCTGAATTCTGGCCCAGTTATGGGACATTTTTCAGCAGAAAACCTTTTCCTTCACTTTTGTCTTGCTGTGAAATTTAGGAGTGTCCTCAAAATGCTGTGCAGTGAACATACCATTCCACTTTTTTTTGAAGAATAAATGC